AATATTACTCAGCCATAAAAAGAAACGAAATTGAGTTATTTGTAGTGAGGTGGATGGACCTAGAGTCTGTCATACAGAGTGAAGTAAGTCAGAAAGAGAAAGACAAATACCGTATGCTAACACACATATATGGAATCTAAGAAAAAAAAAAAAGGTCATGAAGAACCTAGGGGTAAGACAGGAATAAAGACACAGACCTACTAGAGCATGAACTTGAGGATATGGGGAGGGGGAAGGGTGAGCTGTGACAAAGCGAGAGAGTGGCATGGACATATATACACTACGAAACGTAAAACAGATAGCTAGTGGGAAGCAGCCGCGTAGCACAGGGAAATCAGCTAGGTGCTTTGTGACCGCCTGGAGGGGTGGGATAGGGAGGGTGGGAGGGAGGGAGACGCAAGAGGGAAGAGATATGGGAACATATGTATATGTATAACTGATTCACTTTGTTATAAAGAAGAAACTAACACACCATTGTAAAGCAATTATACTCTAATAAAGATGTTAAAAAAAAAAAGAAGCAAAAGCAAAAGAACCAGTTCATATATAGACAGAAGTTTTTGCTATTTGGATCATATAAGAACCAATAATTTTGGGCTTCCCTGGTGGCGCAGTGGTTGAGAGTCCGCCTGCCGACACGGCACGGAACACGGGTTCGTGCCCCGGTCCGGGAGGATCCCACATGCCGCAGAGCGGCTAGGCCCGTGAGCCATGGCCACTGAGCTCGCGCGTTCGGAGACTGTGCTCCGCAACAGGAGAGGCCACAACAGTGAGAGGCCTGCGTACCGCAAAAAAAAAAAAAGAAAAAAAGAAAAAAAAAAAGAAAAAGGACCAACAGTTTTAATGTTTTCGGAATTTAGGCAGGTCCCTTTCGAAATTAAAAAATAATAAAATGGGACAGACATAATTCTTTAAAAGATTGACAGTTCAGCCTCCAGAGAAATAAACTAGTCATTTGGTTAGTCTCGTAAATCAATCATCTGATACATGTAAGACAGACACTGATCTTTATGAGCTAAGTTCTACTCAACTCTTCTAAACTGAGTATAAATTACAGATTATAGTGATTTTCACCAAAAGAATATCTAGGAAGAACATAATAATAATAACAATAATAATGCAATTACATATATTTTATAGTTTTTTTAAATGTAAAGTTCCTTCTTTCTCCTTATTTATGACTTTGCCTGAAGTGATGCGCATGGGCTACACTAAGGTAAACTGGTATGCAGGAATAAAGGGTGCAGGGAGAATGGAGAAGGGAGATGCACAGCTCCTGGCCATTAACACATGGAATGCTTTTGTGTGGGCTTGCTTTGTAAGAGAACAGCCTTATTCTTGTGGCTCCAAAATGGCTAGAACCAGTGTCCAATGTCCAGAACCAAATAAATGCCAACATCTAACAGCTGCTACTCTCTGGCAAGAAGTCTGAGGCAATCTAACAAAGATCATTAACTGTGGCCAGAAGTCATTTTGCTCTTTGGATAGGATCACAAAGAGAAAGAACATGGTAGAGAGGAGCAAATAATAATTTTCTTCCACATTTAATAAACACATTTTTAGTATTCTCCAACTCACAATAAAGTTTTTAATAGTTAAAATTTCCAATGATCTTCTATCTCTACATTGTAATAATCTGAAAATATTACAGAGTCAATTTTTATTAAATCCACATGAGACAGTGTCAATATTCCACTGATGTACAATACGAGCTCTAGCTTACATGTAATTTACTTTGGGAGGCTTTCTTGATACTCTTCCTTACCTTCCAGGCTGAGTTTGGTGTCCTTCCAATGTAAAAATGCTTTATCACACTGCTTTTTAATTATTTAAATAATTTAAATTGATTTGTCTTACATACTATACTACCCTGACCAAACGCACGCGCATGCGCGTGCACGCCCGCACGCGCACACACACACACACACACACACACACACACACACACCTCTCCAAAGGCAGAGCCTATGTCTTTGCTGTTAATGTATTTTTGGCTCACTCGAAAAGTACCCAGCATATACCAAGCATTCAATAAATATTGAACTGAAATGATTTACTTACTGTCCACTACTTAATTTCTCTCTAATTGTGGAAAAATCCATAGGCTTCTTAATAACTTTCTTATAACCAGGAACAAGTTTCAAGTTTACAGGAAGCAGAAAAGGCCATGCATCCTCATGAGTTTCCATTTCAGTAAGGATCATACTAAAGAAAACAATATCTGAAATCAGTATCTATGCTTTAGAAATATCTATTTTTATTAAAAATTTACCTTTCACAATCTTTCAAGTAAAAAATGCAAATTAATTTATTTTAAAAGATAAAAGAATATATTTACTTATACTATAGACTTTCATTTCCTACTTACACAAATTGTGAAAAAGTTGCCTTTAGTATGGTAGATTTCTAAGCAAATAAAATAGGAAGTTGTAAATATACAGTACATGAAAACTGAAATAATACCTGCAAAGAGCTAGGTCCTTGGAGTCATCTCTTTTAGGTTTCTTAACAGAAGTAAAACTTTCTTGTTTTGACAAACTAATAGAAGTGTTTTCCTCCATTTTTCTTTTTTTCAGGTCTTTGATTCCTCTTTTTAATGAACTACTTGTAGATGCAGAGTCTTCATCCTCAGTATCCCCTGTTAAAGTTACTTTCTTGCCTTTTTTTGACTCAGTCTTTTTTCCTTTGACATGAAGTTTTTTGATTTTTAGAGTTTGACCACTTGCCTTTAATTTAAAAAAAAAAAGGAAATGAGGTATAAGAAAAATAACTGTCTACAGGCCTTTTATTATTTTAAGTTAGGAAAGCCTGACAGGGCCAACAAAAAGAATATTATCTCTGATCTCGAACGTTGATCATTTTATTATTTTCAAGAGAGATCTATGAATTTGTTCTCCCATAATATGAGGCAAAAATCTAATAAAGCGTGAAAATTTATTTTAGGAATTCTTAAAATCTGAAGATGTTGATCTCGTGGTAATCCATCTTCGGAACTATAGAACTTATCAGCAGTATTTCTTTAATCTAGGTCAGCGGACCCCAACCTTTTTGGCACCAGGGACCGGTTTCACGTAAGAAAATTCTTTATGGACGTGGGATGGTTCAGGCAGTAACGCGAGCAATGGGGAGGACTGGGGAGCGGCAGATGAAGCTTCACTCGCTCCCTGCCACTCACCTCCTGCAGTGCGGCCTGGTTTCTAACAGGCCACCGAGGTAAGGGTCTGAGGCCTGGGGGCTGGGGACCCCTGGTCTAGGTCACTAACTGAATGAGTTTAAAGATACAAAAGTACTATCTTTTGGAGCACAGTATAATTAAGAACAAAGGTTGAATAGAAACAAAAATATAGATCTTATTAATAAGAAAGTTGAAGAGATCATTAAGAAGCTAGGCGAAAACAAGGAAAATAGCTCATGACGTGTCCAATAGAGAAAAAGTTCTTTAGAAATGATCAGATCTACTGGAAATTGATATTTCTTTCTAGATAAAGAAAAAAAGCATTTTCTATAAGAATAGAGTTCCACAAACTTGTGGTTACCGGGTGTGAACAAAGCAGAGGTGAAGGAAGAGGGGAAAAAATATCTGTTTTTGAGGAAAACAATAAAGAAACAGCATAAAAGATTATATTTGGAATCAAGAATGTGATTTCCAGCTATGGCTCTGTCAGTAACTAGCTATGGAACTTTGTACAAAAATATCTGTGAGTCCCTGTTTTCTAACCTGTAAAATAAGAAAGATAAGCCACACAATTGGTACGGTCATTCTAGCTCTAAAATTACACGGAAAAAAAAACACAAAAAAACAACTTCAAAAAACCTCAACGTGGCCTTACGCAACTAACTACAATGTACAGGCAGCACACTGATGTAACGATAGCTGCCCACCACACCCCTCAACCTAGAAATAGCGAAATAAATCTGTATTTTCAGATTTTACAATACTACAATAAATATATCAGATCATAGAAGAATATCAGTGCCAAGACCCTGTAATGTATGGTTTTTGTTTTAATTTTCCAGAACAGTGTTTATCCTCTTTTAGCAAATTATTTCCTCTCTTACCCAGACTATTAAGAAATCTTAGACTTAAGACTTAGGGTCAGATATCAATCAGCTGTAATTTAAAGTTGGAGGTATCCTTGAAATGAATTTGGCTGAAAAACATTTCTGTGGAGTACTTCATACCAATTTCTTTGAGGATTTCAGGACCTCTTCTAGCATTATTTTTAAAAATTGCTTTTAATCAAGCAATTAAAATTATTTGTTTCTCTATTGGTAGGTTAAAAGTATAGTTAAAGAAATATTTTAATTGACTAAAATAATAAAACAAACCATAAATCTAACATCTTCCCCATACCATATGAAAGAATCACTACCCCTTGAAACTAACTGGAATAATTAATATGTTTTACTAAGTCTCTTCTCCATTTAGTTTATTAATTTTTATTCACTAAAATCTGATTATTTTGAGTTTTTATATTGCACTGAGATTTTAGCACTCTGAAATCATAAAAAAAGAGAAAGAGAATGCTTAGTTCATGAGGAAAAGGTCTATTTAATGAAGATTAAATTAAGTTAGATTGAGTAATTGTGTTACTTAAAAAGAACAAAATTTCATGAATAATGGGTCAAAATTTCTAGTTCCTATTTGAACGAAAATACTATTGGGTTGGCCAAAAAGTTCATTTGGGTTTTTCCATAAGATGTTACGGATCCCAATACTTGGGATCATATTCTAACAAATTAATACTCATAGTAAGAAAACATGAAATTTAAATCCACAGAAATAAAAACTTTCGTGATGTTTTAAAAAGACAATGAAGCCTCTCTTTCTTTTATAAATGATGTTTGTCAGCTTACCTCATTAGATCATGCACATACACTTTGAAAAGCAAGCTTTTACACAGTTGCTCTGTTACTGATGACTTTGTTCTTCGACAGAGAAGTGACCCTTCCCCACCCTTTCTATCTTATTAGAGCCCAAATCCAAAGAGGAACTTCATGATATCTTAAGCCAAACCTATCAGATTACACATACAAGGGCTCATTTCTGTTATGCTTGTATATCTATACATCAGAAGTTGTGAACTGGTGGCTCAGAGGCTGTAAACAGCCCACAGAATGTGGTGTTGTTTGGCTCATAATGCTTGTAAAAATCCTGAATTTGTTGCCAACATTTAACATTTGGGAGGGCATGCATAAAAATCCATAATCTTGAAATATTGGTAGATCCTGGAACACTGGGCCCACATGTCTCCATGACGGCTGGAGATGAGCAATGTCTGTCACATATAAATGGGGCCATGGCTTGACTTTCCTGTTTGCTACAGTCCCAACTCTTTTGTGTTATTTGGCTTTTGTAGGCACTGGAATTTAAAATTTCTTGTGTGTGTGTGTGTGTATGAGTGTGTATAAATAGGTATATATATACACACATGCAGGTTTTTTGATTCTGTGATCCTGAAAGTATATATATCTATCTTTAATATATATACATAGTGTATGTATATATATTGGCATGAAAACACACATATACACAGAATAAAAACAGTCACAATGACATATGCAGAAATAGCTATTTGAGAGCAAGCTGTATAATATAAATATTTGTAAATAACTGAATTACTGGAAAGATATTTTTAAAACCTTAACTTTAAAAATCTTTACCAAAATCCAGTGTTTATAACATCTGTTATTGCTGTAAGAAACATATCACCTAATCCACCACATTAAAAAAACAAGAAAGCAGAGGCTTAGAAAGCTGCATTTACATAGAAGGGTTTAGATGAGATCATACACCTCACATCTTCTAGTCCATTCCTGAAATGATAGATAGCCAGAATTCTAATTTAAGCAAATTTACAGAAAACAAAACCTCCTATAGCCTACCAGATGATACCCCCAAGAATTAAAACACTGATTTGTTAGTAATTCATAAAGTATTAGAGACACTTTTCTATAACTTGACGTTTATGAAGTTAAAAGATAAGTTATGTACCACCAGGGAAGATTATTATTATTAAACTACATTTAACTATATATAACAAAAATGATCAAGTAATGAGAAATAAAAAAGCAATTATTAGTGAATATGGTGCCATGTGAGACCTCTGCTATTTTGTAAAATATAGCCTAAAATATAATAAGGTATTAATATAAATATATCCCCCCCCAAAAAAATAGATCACAGAATTTTAAAGTCATAAAAACCTTCAAACACACGACAATATTTGATCCTTACAAATCCCCGCAAAGCAGATACGATTCCATTTTACAGATACAACTTTGAAGCTAAGAAAGCACTCCATATTTATAGATCTGGGAGGTGAGAAAAACCATCAAAGGAGACTGAAAAGGAGCAAAAGGAAGAAGAAAATCAGGTGAGTATGGTATCCTAGAAGACAAGTGAAGATAGGATTTCAAGGAGGAGGGGAAGTTCCATTCTATCAAATGTAAGTGATGGGTTAGGTGAGATCTAAGCATTGATCACTGGACCGAGCAATGTGGAAGTCACTTGTGGGCACAGTAAGAGAAACTTTGGAGAAGCTGTGGACATGAAAATATGACTGGAGTGAGTTTAAGAGTGAATCAGAGGAGAGAAATCAGAAAGAACCAGAACAGAAAACTTTCCAGTAAAGGGAAGGGGAGAAATGGGGCAAGTGGATCAAGGAAGAAGTGAGGCCAAAAGAGGGGTTTTGTTTAGTTTTTGTAAGATGGGAGAAATAGTAGCATGTTAGTAGGCTGATGAGAAAGAACCCAGTGTAGAAGGAAAAACTGATGATGCAGGAGAAGACAGAACTGCTGGAGCCATTCTCCTAAGGAGGTGAGAGGGGATGGGATCTGAAGCACAAGTGGGCTTGCTGGCTTAGTTAGGGGCACACAAGCAGTTCATGGCAACAGGAGGGAGGGTAGAGTATGAGAGCCCAGATATAGGAAGGATGGTAGGTGTGGTGGTGGATGCTTGTGATATTTTCTTCTGATGGCTTCCATTATCATAGTGAAATGGGAGTAAGGTCATCAGCTGAGAATGAGGATGGAGGAGACAGTAAATTATCAGGCACCACTAAAGGCTCTCTTAGCCTTAAATTTAAAGGGGTGGGTGTTTTCTCCAGCCACATTCAAGATACCTTTGTATCTGAATATACAGGTGCTGGAGAAGTCATAAAGTTGGATTAACCAGAATGATGGTTTTACCAAGTGAGAGAGAGGCACAGGAGCTAAGGGTGGATGCAGTGATTATAGGAGGAAAGAGAGGACGTGAATGGGGAGAGGGACAGTGAAAAGGTCTTAAGATAAATGAATTGAAGGTCCTGATGAGATCAAAGAATTATTGGAGTTGGAGCGCTAGAGGGAGTGAAGAGGAAAGAAAGGAGGCAGTGGAGAGATGGATGCTTGAAACTGAGTTTATGAAGTGGTGGTAGTTACTGGTAGTAACTACGTTAAGAGATTAAACATGGAAGAGAGTGTCTGAGATAGGGAAAACCTAACAAAGAGTCTGGCCCTCAATACATTCTAACCCTTTCACACTTCTTACTCCTTACTTTATAACTCTAAAACCCATTTCTTTCTACTTTATCATAGTGCTACTCTTTAATCAATTAGTATAAGAATTCACAGGTTTCCAATTTATATGTGACTGGAAAGTGACTTAAAATACATATGCTTATTACCATATGACCTAGCAATTCTACTCTTAGGTATATAACAAAAATTGAAAACATATATTCATATAAAAACTTGGGTATGACTGTTCATAAGCAGCATTATTCATAAAAGCCAAAATGTAGAAACAACCCAAGTGTCCGTCAGCTGAACAGATAAACAAAATGTAGTCTGTCCATATAATGAAATATCATTTGACTTTAAAGATGAAGTGCTAGAACACAGATGAACCTTGAAAATATTGTGCTAAGTGAAAGAAAAAGGCCACATATTGTATGACTTGATGTATATGTAATGACAAGAATAGGCAAACCCACAGAGATAGAAAATAGATTAAATGGTTGCCAAAGGCTGAGAAGAGAAGGGGAATGGGGAGTGAATGATAATGCGTACAAGCATACTTTTTGGGGATCATGAAGATGTTCTGGAATTTGATAGTGGTGATGGTTGTACAACTTTGTGAATATATCAAAAACCACTGAATCGCACACTTTAAAACGAATTTTACAGTATACGAATTATATCTCAAAAAAAAAATCCCCATAAAACTCTTCATTTTGATCTGGCAATTAAAAAGTTGTAAGTAATAATACTACTTAAAAAATACTAAAATTTATATGGAGCCACAAAAGACCCAGAATTGCCAAAGTAATCCTCAGGAAAAAGAACAAAGATGGAGGCATAACCCTTCCAGACTTCAGACACTACTACAAAGCTACAGTAATCAAAACAGTGTGGTATTGGGGCAGAAACAGACATATAGATCAATGAAACAGAATAGAGAACCCAGAAATAAACCCGCACACCTACAGTTAATTAATCTACAACAAAAGCGGTAAGAATATACAATGGAGAAAAAACAGTCTCTTCAGCAAGTGGTGCTGGAAAAGCTGGACTGCTAAATCAATGAAATTAGAACACTCCCTCACACCCTCACACCATATATAAAAATAAACTCAAAATAGTTTAAAGACCTAAACATAAGACATAAAAGTCCGAGAAGAGAACACAGGCAAAACATTCTTGGACATAAATCATAGCAATATTTTCTTACATCACTTTTCCAAGGCAAAAGAAATAAAAGCCAAAATAAATGGGACCTAATCAAACTTAAAAGCTTTTCCACAGCAAAGGAAACCAACAAAACAAAAAGACAACCTACCAGACTGGGAGAAAATATTTGCAAATGATGCAACTGACAAGGGGTTAATAACCAAAATACACAAACAGCTCATACAACTCAATATCAAAACCACAAACAACCCAATCGAAAAATGGGCAGAAGACCTAAATAGATATTTCTCTAAATAAGACATACAGCTGGCCAACAGGCACATGAAAAGATGCTCAGCGTTAAGCGTTACTAAGTATTAGAGAACTGTACATCAAAACCACAATGAGGTATCATCTCACACCAATCAGAATGGCTATCATCAAAAAGTCTACAAATAATAAGGCTGGAGAGGGTGTGGAGAAAAGGGCACCCTAGTACACTGTTGGTGGGAATGTAAATTGGTGCAGCCAGTATGGAAAACAGTATGAAGGTTCCTTAAAAAATTAAAAATAGAGCTTCCATACGATCCAGGAATCCCACTCCCGGGCATATACCTAGAAAAGGTGAAAACTCTTAATTTGAAAAGATACATGCACCCTAATGTTCATAACAGCCCTATTTACAATAGCCAAGACATGGAACCAACCCAAGTACCCATCAACAGACAATTGGTTTAAGAAGATGTGGTACACATATACAATGAACTATTACTCAGCCATAAAAAAGAATGAAATATTGTCATTTGCAACAACATGGATGGACCTAGAGATTATCATACTAAGCGAAGTAAGTTAGACAGAGAAAGACAAATATCATATCACTTATACGTGCAATCTAAAAAATAATACAAATGAATCTATATACAAAACAGAATCTATATACAAAACAGATTTCTAGAAAACAAACTTATGGTTACCAAAGGGGAAAGGTGGTGGTGGGGGTGGTGGGGAGGATAAATTAGGAGTATGGGATTCACAGATACAAACTACTACACATAAAATAGATAAGCAACAAGGATTTACGGCAGAGCACAGGGAACTCTATTCAAAATCTTGTAATAACCTATAATGGAAAAGAATCTGAAAAAAAAATATAACTGAATCACTCTGCTGTATACCCAAAACTAACACAATATTGTAAATCAACTATACTTCAATTAAAAAAAATTTAGTTTTAGATCAGTCTTACCTTAGCAATGCAAGCTGGACAAAACCAGTCCCCATCTGGTATAGTTGTAATCTTGGGTCTATGGCAGTATGTATGACAGCCTTTGTCACAGCCATCGCAGAGGAGGAGCAGTTCTTCATTATCTCCCTTTCGACAGATCTGGCAGTACTATAATACATGGAAAATCATTTAAAATTAACACTCTGCTTCAAATAATAGTTTGGGGGATATTAAACACACCATTAATTCCTAATTTATATTAGTAATGAACATTCTGCTTGCTAACAAATATACAGTAGCCATACACATCTATGTATCTCTCGTTACACAGATATGGACCACATGATGGGGTGAGCAGTTCAGTTGGGGTAAATGCACATTTCAGGTACACTGCAAAAAACAAAGCTAGAGGTTGAATGCCTGCACACACTTCAGAAGCATGTACACATTAACATATGAAATAATTAACATGACATTAGAGCACATAAAGCAATGAATAGCTTTAATACATGGTGTTTTAATTTTTTAATATATTTCGTCATTTGCTTATCTTAGCATCCTCATGATATCCTGAGAAAGAAATAAGTAAAAGTTAGAGTAATTTTTAAGATCAAAATTAGGAACTTGTATTAGTAACAGAATTATAAATAATAGTAATAAGATGTCACTGTATTTTGACTATGTCCAAATCAGGAAACTTTGGAAATCAACCCAAATCAAACATGTGTCACAAATGTAGAAAATGGATCCTACAAAATGGTTTCCAAGGGAAAAAGAAATTGATACAATAAATTAAATAAAAGAATTTAGAAGTCATAATTTATTTTCTAGGACTAAAAATAAAATTGTTTCTTCTCTGTTGAAAAACTTCTAATACCATTAAGAACTTTAAAATCTATAAAGAGATTTTTTTTTTTCCCCATGCACACATATTCTGTATAACAAGTTTCACAAAGGGAAAGGAGGAAGATTAGACAGGTAAAAACTTTAAAGATGGCTTTAAAAAATGGTAAGTACTAACATTATATTTTGACATTTAGTTTTTATTTGTCACAGTAGACAATGTCCTGTAATCAATATTCCAAAAAATGAAAACATTACTAATATAATATTGTACATCAACTATATTTCAATTAAAAATAATTAAAACATTTAAATTATAAATCATTTGTACTAATTTTAAGTTATGTATTTATATACTGTTAAAAACAAAATAGCTTAATTGTTCAAACTTAATTTTTTAATTTCAATAAAACATTAAATCTTAATCTGAGAATGTCTAAAATAGTCTTTCATAACTCAATACGTACACCAATGATAGCTTAAGAATCTTGTCAAAACAGCAGATACATGCTATTCACCTTAACAAATATCTAGCAAATATATGTAATATACATGTAATACTAAAACTGGCAAGTGTACTAAGAGCAAAAGCAGTAGAGTTTAATATCCCAACAGTAAGTATTTATTTTATGACCTTTCCTGATAACCACATCACTAAATACCTTAATATGGTGTTATTTCTCCAAATTTGAGTTATTTCTTTAAAACTTCTATTATAAAAATACTCATTGAGAAATAACATTTCGAAGGTTATATTTCAATTCCTATAACAATAAAATTTAAAAATCAGATTCATGAACATTAAGTAAATTCTCATTGTTTTCTACAATAGGTAAAAATACTATGAAGCCTGTCTTACATCTCACATTTATGATTTAAAAATAAAATTATTTTCTGATACTTATTAAGAAAGGGTGGCAGGTATCAAGTTCATAACATTTTCGAAAATCCACAGTAATAGCTCACAATACGTTAGAGCAAATGTAGTAAAATTTGGTTTTAACTCCTCTGCTACCACAGTAAAAAAAAACAGTGGATGTTGCCGATTGCTTAACATTAACAACAGAAAACATATCGTGTGGGCTGAGAAGTATCTGGAGGCAAATCATGGCAGCTCCTTCTTTCCTAGTAAGCATGGTTTCTGGTAAAGAGGATATTTCTAAAGATATTGAGCACTTTAACATTTTTTTTTAGGACTTCTTATGAGGATTATTATAGGTTTTGTTACATTTCTAATTAAAGGTTACCAAGTGCTCATTAATTTTTCAATAAGAAACTCTGCCTTCTTTTCAAAGTAGTTTTATAGCAAATAATGTATTATTAAACATTAAAAAAAGAAATAAAAATTATGAGATGGAGTTAAATAATGATGAATGTATATTAATTTATTAATAACAATGGAAAAGAAGTTTGCAAAACCTGAAATAAAGCTTTAGATTGCAGAAAGTAAGTATACTAATATAAAGGTAGATTTTGGTACAAGTTTTGGGTTTCTGTGTTATAGGTTATAACAAAACTGCCTACATTGTGATGATTGTTTTGGTGTAGATGAGAAAAGTAACTGTACAAATTTGATTCTGATATAGGAACTGAATCTTTTTTTATCATTATATCCTACATTTCACCAAACATATTTGTTTAAGGTGACTTTAAAACTGGTTTTAATAATGATTTTTAGAAGGAAAATTATTTTTACCTGGTAAAAATGCTACCAGATGACCTGAACAATGCCTTAAAACTTATAGTAAATTCTAATCTGTATAGGGAAA